TGATGAGAAAAATTTCCTCAGTAGAAAAATATGTACATACAAGATTAAGGCTATCTGGCTGAATGACCATTCACATGAAGAGGATTTAAGGATTCCAGTGAATGGTCAGTTCAACATTCACCAGAAGTGTGAATCAAAGCATGCAGATCATTAGTTGCATTGTATTATGTATTAGTTGTATCTGATAAGGAGCACCACTCTTTAAAAGAGGGATGGAGAAGCTAGAATGAATTAGGATGAGAGCTCTTGGGGAATTGAAGCTGAATGGCAGGTGGGAAAAGCAAATCCAGTTCCAAAAAGTTAAAATGACAATTTTTTCACAATTTTGTACAAATTAGGCCACAAATCAGACCTAATCAAAATATTCCACTGCAGTTGGTTAAAAAAAATGAGGGCTGGCTCTAAATAGGTTGTCCTAGCACTAATCACTGCTGCATGATACAAATGGAACTATCCAATATTTTTGTCATATTTATCCTATGCTGTGTAAGAAGCAGCTGCTGTGAATAGGAAAGATTTATAATAGTAATATCTGTAGCTCAGATGTAGGATGAGAGTGAAGTTTTGTTCTCTAAGCTTGTGGGTTGGTTTCTGAATGTTTCGTTGTCAGGCTAGGAAACATCTTCAGTGAAGTTTAGGGGAAGAGGAAAGATCTCCAAAAAAATCTGAGTAATTATTTTTTGGGGGGTGAGGAGATTTCTAACCAGTCTTGAAAAACAATGTTCAGAATTCATTTAAGGAATCTGGCTCATTTTTAAATATGCATACTACAGATAGTTCATGTAGTGCCTGTTCAAAGTTACAATGGCACTGGAAAAAGTGTCTCATGACCATTTTTCACACTCATGACCATTGAGGCATTCACATGGCCACATGTCAAAATTTGGATGCTACTGGTTCATATTTATGAAAATGTCACTGTCCCTGGGCAATCTCCAAAGCATCTAAAGACAGGACAAAAAGCAATAGGTGGAAACTAATCAAGGAGAGAAGCAACCTAGAAGTAAGGAGAAATTTCCTGTGAGTTAGAACAATTAGTCATTGGAACGACTTGCCTCCAGAAGTTGTGAATGCTCCAACACTGGATGTTTTTAAGAAGAGTTTGGACAACCATTTGTCTGAAATGGTATAGAGTTTCCTTCCTGAGTAGGCAAATGACATTTTCTTAAATGATTCAATGAAACTATCTTTCAGCGTATGATATTTTTTTAAGGATATAAAGGATTTTGGTGGCCTTGAAAAGTATGGGATTATACTTTGCATTGTCTATTTTTATTGGCTCAGGCTGATGGGTCTTGGAAATCTACATAATTGTGAACAGTCAATCTACCTATCTCTGGATCATGGGCTCCTCCCCTCAAAGTAAAAAAGCAGAACTGTAAGCTTGGATGCGTAATATCATGATATATGAACAAAAGAAGGAAATTCTATTTTCCTGACTGTGGCTACTGCGGTTTGATTAAAATACTTCCATAATACTGGAAAGTTTAATATTATGCCAACATGACATTCCATAAATTGATATATATATATTTTGAAATACTAAAAAACGTTGCTTTGGAAGTAATAATCTCATACCAGCATTAAAACACAGTTAGCAATAATTGGCTAAATTACTGTACATATTAAATTAAGAGATGGAACTGAAAGGAAAATGTTATGACAATTGGAATCTTTTCATTCAGTTTAAGAAGATTAGGTATAACATGGATATTAACTGATATGATTCATTTATAATAACATAATAAAATAATTTGGTCTCATTTCTAAGAGTACATAGATTGCTAAGTATTAATTGTTTAATAAAACAGATTACCCTTTTGCAAAGCTAGTGACAGTTTGTGCACATTTGAAAAATGATTATCTATTATGACTTAATAATAATACAGACATATTCATTGATGATTTGTTGAATAATGTATTTTTGTTAAATATTTCTCTATTTTAAAACATGTAGATTGTTATTCCCTTAGCAATAACTTAAATCATTACATTTCTAATGGTAGGAGAAAGAGGTAGAGAGAGAGAAAAAAAAGATGGTTTCATAGGAAAAATCAGCATGATTTTGAGCCTCTTGTGTTTGGTCACAACTTCCAATTATGTTTTCAGGCAATGAACCATTTCCTTCTGCAGGAAAGGGCATTTAATTTAATTTATCAGCATGTAATCAACCCTCTTGAAGATACTACCAACAGACAGATTTAGATTTGATTGATTATGTGCTATCAAGTCTTTGTCAACTGTTAGCAATCACATATATACATTTTCTCCATGATGATCTCACCCTAACCTGGTGTTTCAGGTATTCCAATTGTCCATTGATTGCCATGATAACTGAAGTCCATCCACCTTGCTGCTAGTCATTTTCTCATTCCTTCCGTGTTTCCCAGCATTAGAGCCTTCTTCAAGGAGTTAGGTCTTCGCATAAGGTGTCTACAATAGGATAATTTGAGAGCCTGGTCATTTGTGCCATGAGTGAGAACTCTGGGTTATTTGATGGTTGGTCTTGTCTGTCCATAGTATTCTCACAAGTCTTCTTCAATACTAGCATTCAAAAGCATCAATACTCCTCCTATCCTCAGAATTTCCAGGCATCTCTGTTTGAAGTAGTTGAGCTTTAGAGTTTCATGGGGAAAGATGTTCTAGAGCAGGGGTCACCAACCTTTCAGACCTCAGGGACCACCAAATTCATAATTTTAAATCCTGCGGACCACTAATATGATTTTTTAAAGAAGATAAATAGTATTTAGTGCAATCTAAAAATGCAAATAATTTTTCTGTGGACCACCAAAATGTTCCCATGGACCACCAGTTGGTGACCACTGTTCTAGAGGGCATCTCTAGAACTTTTGGATTCAATTTCCACTTTCCTTTTGTTACTAGATGATGGGAGGACAAGCACAAAAATTGCTATCACCATCACCATCATCAATCTTATTTATTCTGTCTCAAGGAGCCTAACAAATTATAGTTTTGGTGTGAAGTTTTTGCAGTTGCTTAAAACTAGGATATGGAACCTATAATTCTCCAGATGTTATTGAATTCTGTTCCTCATTGTTGATACTTTCTAAGGTGTTGGAGTCACACAGCATCCAGGATATCATAGGTTCCCTACACTTCCTGAGCATTTTATCCAAGGGACTGTATCATAAATACATAGTTTGTGTAGATATGTACTTAGTACAGGCACAGGTTACCAAAGTAGTCCCTTTCAATTCAGTTCTTGACTTTTGGTGGTTTTATGAGTTTGTCCATGGAACGTTTTGTGACCACCATACAGAAGAGCTTTCTTTTGAATGCACTTTCATCCTCACTATCTATGGAGATTTTCTGTCATCCAGGTTGTCCCAAAGGTGCTTTTTCAAGAGGCAACTGGACTTTCTGTTTCTTTCTTTGAAGATGTTTCGCTTCTCATCCAAGCCAAAGAAGCTTCTTGGATGAGAAGCAAAACGTCTTCAGAGAAAAACCAGTTACCTCTTGAAAAAAAAAGCACCTTTGAGAGTTTCATCCTCACCGTTTAGCTGATAAACTTGGGATTTTCAGGTGGTATCCTATCCAAGTAGAAACCGGTACAAGCCCAGCTGAGGTCTTTGAAGTTTAGGTGATTCTCTCTCCTAGTGCAACAGTCAGGGCTGCTCCCTAACACTTTCAACACAACTATAGTCTAGTAAAGCTCAAATTGTTTCAGACTTTGCCACCCCCCATGGAAGCCCTTCGTTGGGTTGCAATCCCTTCAGCGAGAGGGCTGGCAAGGCGGGGAGGTACTCCACGGTGTCTCCCGTTTTTACCCTCCTGGCTTGCCCTCTGCCGCCGTTTGCACCGATTCAGTCCTTAAGCGCAACCTGCCCCTTCGCTTTCGCTGCTACACGGGAGGCGCCCTTCCCCAAGCTCTGGGTCCGGGGCGGGGCGGGGCTCAGAAGGCTCGGTCTTCCGAAGCCGCCCAGTCGGGGGAACTCCCAAGTTTTGCGGAGCGGCTGCTGGAGCTTCTCCTAAGTCAAGCGGCGGCTTCAGTTCCGGCAGCCTCTGGGGTCGTGGTCTAAAGCGGAATCCTGGGCCACATTGCTGGATGGCTGGGACAAAGAGACGAGGATCCAGTCTGGTTACTATGGCAACGACAGAGGAATAGTTTAGAAAAAAAAAAAGAAAAAAAAAGAGGAGGGCTTCCAAACGCTCACTCTCCGTCCCTTGTCAAATTGCTGTCGCTGTGTGTAAGAAACGTTGCTTAAAAAAAAAACACATTCCCAACGTGCAAAATGCGTTTATGCAGCCTGTCAAACGCCACGATTTTTCCCATTTAGTTTAACAGCAGCAGCAGCAGGACAACGAGAATACAGAACCCACGCGCAGGCCTCCCTTTCTGCATTGTGTGTGTGTGTGAGAGAGAGAGAGAGAGAGCGGGAGAGGGAGAGGGAGAGGGAGAGGGAGAGGGAGGGAGGGAGGGAGGGAGGGAGAGAGAGAGAGAGAGAGAGAGAGAGAGAGAGAATTTTCTTTAAAAGGCAGTGGTTGGCTGGTTTTTCCGGACATGATGTGGTAGAAGCTGTCATCATAATGGAAATTCATTGCTGTAGCTATGGTAAATCGAGTTTTCTGCCCGTGCTGAATGCATTAGTCTAATGAGATGTTTGCAGCTGGGGAAGCTCGGCGGGCTAACAGGCAAGGGGGGAAATGGCTTGTGGAAGGGTCGCTGCACACGTGCTACAAGTCCTCTCCTCTTTGGGCCAACAGACCGGCTTGTAAAGGAGCTGATCCAGCATTAAACGTTAGCGCTAGGTAAGGGGAGGCGAGGCGAGAGTCTGCAGTTCGGCGCTGGCTCGGCGCGGTTGGGTTGCCCTGCTCTGCTCTGCTCTGCTCTGCTCTGGAAAATCAGCTGAGACTCGAGCGGCGTGCACGGCTCGCCTGTCATATATCCCTCGCGCGCTCAGCTCCGGCTGGGGTGCATGTATGTGTCGCGTGCACGCAGGCATCTGTGGCACGGGATCCACTCTTTTCACGGGCGCTTCGAGCCACGGCTTAAGTTTATCCAGCTTCGAGCTAATTAAGAGTGTGTCTCCTTTGGAACTGTTCGGTGTCGAGGGCAAAAAAAAATAAATCCCTTTCGCGGGTTTTTAATTTAAAAAAAAAACCGTGTCCGTGAGACTGACACTCTGTGGGTGTGTGGTGAGTTCAGTGTTTTTCTTTCTTTCTTTTTTTGAGTGCCTTAAATTTAAGTGCTTTAAAGATTTCGCACGTCCATGGAAGTGCACTTTCCCCATTTCTGAGGAGCGGAGAGGTGTGTGTGCATCTTGTGACAGCTGTTTAATGCAGAAAATATATAGTACGTTCTCATAATTGATTTCCTCCTAAGACTGATTTCTTGGAGCTGTTCCCTCTGATCTATTTTATACCTGAATATTGGTTGTTGGTTTACAAATTTTGCCGGAAATTTTGCGAGAAGCTCTGTGAATTCGTGTTGTGAAGCTAGGTGGTTTTCGCTTAGAGAATATGAAGCATAGAACTTATAAAAAAAAGGTCTGTGATTTAGCAAATGATGTGCTTGTGTTCTTTTTTTTTGTCTTTTGAAAATGTTTCTTGCAATGTGTGTTGAACAGCTATTCCATTTTACATCTTGAAATGAAAATAGCTTTTAACCAATTTTCTTTTGTGACCAGTGAAAAGCTTCTGTTGTTTAATAAAGCATATTATTACATTATTACTTATGTACCAAGGAGATAATGTGAGTAATTGAACAATGAGCATCTTTAGAAGTTGGCTTTCCTTTCTCTCACACCCCCTTGTCACAATAGTTTGCAAATAAGCACCCATGAATGGATTTTAGGTGTCAGTATGGATTTTTTTTTCTCTTTGTGTGTGAGGTTTTTCTGGAAATGCAGATTTTATTTTGGAACAAAATGCTTTTAGAATCGTGAACAAATAGCCTGGAGAAGCAGATGCTTTTAAAGGTGTGTGTATGAGGGAGAAATCTGTCTTTAGTTTTTGAGGTTGAATTTGGAAGAAAAGCAAGGCTGGAAAAAACATAAACAAGAATCTCATGTTGGAGTGTACAGAAGCAATCCTGAAAGAAACTGGATTAAAATATTTCTACTGTTCCTAGATGGGTAGTCATGGCTATTTCTAGTGTAGAGAAGCCTTTGGAGCTAAATACCAAATAAAGGGCAGTTGTGGTCTCTAACCAGTGAAACTATTACATAGTTTGGATTTAGATCCAATGAATTATTTTATTCATTGGTTTTCTTCCAAATTATTTTGATGTATAACCTGTCTGTGAATCAAAGACTGACATTTAAAATATCTGCTTTGAGAAATGCATTGTTTAATATATTTCTGTTCTATTTATTTGAGTGTGCATGTATTTTAAAGAATAATTTTTAGAGACTTTCCTTAAATATCTTTTTTAAGATAGGAAAGGACTAGGGTAGTAGTTTAATTTCTATATCTGGAGTAAAAAATGTAAATATGTCTGGATTAAATCAAAAAATCAAACTGAATCTCCCACCAGAATCAATTCTAAGGGAGAGCTTTGTATGAATGTAGCAGCTGGGCGTATTTGGTATTTTCAGAAACTTGTTTGAAACATTTGTAAGCAGAACACTTTTTACTACATAGATGGATGCCACAGAGAACAGAATAAAAACTACAAATGGATATAGGAGTTTGAGCAGCCTACAGCAAGAATTTATATTGTGAATGAGCAAACAATGACTACCCAGCATAAACTTGAGAATTTATCTGAGGCACTTCCTAGTTTATCTAATACATTTCCCCAGAGACAGTTCCCAGTTAATTTTCACCCTTGTTTTTCTTTGCTTCTTCTGTCTCTGTGTAGACAAAATAGATGATTGAAAGTGAAATAGCATGATGTCCTTTGCAAATCCTTTTCCTTTCCTCTTAGAGATGGGGCTTAATGAGCTTATGTTAAATATGAAATAATACAAAAGTCTCTCCTTCCTAATCAATTGTGCTTGAAAATGGGTATTTTTCAATCATTTGAACTGCCAACACCCCAACTTTTGAATATATTGGACTTGAAAGATACTATTTTTTTAGCTTCTGAATACCTTTCTTCCTTCAACCTACTCATCATCCATTCATCATCATTATCATCATCATCAACAACCACCTTTATCATTAATTACAGGTAGGATTTAAAAAAATCATGGACAAAGTTCTTTTTCTTACCTTGTGCCTTAATTTCTTTAGCATGGCATTTCATACTTCTTTGCATACATTGCCTAATAGGGCTTATGTTGAAAGAGACATGCAATGAAGATGGTGTACACACACAAACATGCATGCACACCTGTGTACTGCAATACAATTTTCCCTCTCAGATATTGATTTAAATATAGTTTCCAAAGGATTGGTGTAACTGGCAAATCATGCTTCTATCAGGTCACGATAACTTGGCAGAACTTCCATGTTTAGAGACAGTCTACCAGATGAGAGGGGGCAGAAACTAGAGAAGCCACTGTCTGATTCACATGGCTTCCTGGCAAGACTTGGTTTGGCCTCTAATCAGAGATAGGATGCTGGGTGAAGCAGATATTTAATGTTTTTTTTTCCTAATGGAGGCACTTTCCTTTCTTGTCCCATGAGTTTTGTTTCCCTCTTTTGTTATATCTGCAAATTGAATGCAATTGGACAAGAACAAGAGAAACATGCTTTTAAAAATATAGTTATTAACTGTAACAGGTAAGCCCATCCTGGGTTATACAAGGATGCTTTCTCTGTTATTTCTTTTGATAACATTAATTGCTACAGGACAGTTTTCTTTCCACACACACACACACACACACACACACACACACACACACACACACACACACACACACACAGCCCTGGGTGAAGTTGTAATTGAGGAACTTTTGGGACAGCTTTGGCTTATCTGAAATTAGAGTTTTTAAAAAATGACATGCTTTTTTTGTTATTGTATTAGCTTCCACTTCTTCTGCATGGCATACACAAGGGTCCCTTTACAATTGTCTCTTTTGCTTTCACAGGTCCTTTCTTTCTTGAGTAGATTTCTTTGGGCCCCCCCCCAATAATTTCTAGTTCATGGGCTTTTGTTTGTTTGTTTCCTGATTATTTTCATAACAGCCTTAGCAGTTTTACTAGGCTGCTACTGAAACAGAGTAACTGCCCCAAGGTGAAGAGATAAGCTTCAAACATGGTTGGAGATCTAACCACAGCATTAATTTGGTTCTCTGGGAAATCAGTTACATGCACATTTATATATGCACATACAGAGCAGAGAAATAAGAGAAACCATTTAAACTTTCAAAGAGATCATTGCAGAATTTTATCTAGCTCCCCCCTTATTAATTACAGCAAGAATAATTTATAAGGAACTCAGAAGCCAGTGACACTGAAAACTCTTTTAAACCTTCTCGCTCATTAGCAACACATACAGTTCTGCCTATGGAAAGCCACTAAATTCTGCAACTAATCATTCAAATCTTTATTTTTCCTTCCTTAGAATAAACATGGTATGTAGAAGAACATCTTGTTTAATTATACACTAACAAACTAAAACATTATCCTCATGAACATTAAAACACTAAATACCCTTGGAGTTACAGTGTAATGTAAACATATAACTGTTTCTCTTGCTGTATTCTCTGATTGGCTCAACCTACATCTTCAGTTAATTAAACAGTTAATTATTTTATTCAATGTACTGTTATTGCAGTTTTGCACCGAGCAAAATGCACAGGGAACAATATATTGGTATAGATAACCTGAAAATTTACCTTATGGAAATCCTAATGTTATTGTTGTGCCAATCAAGAGTCAAGAAATGAGGAGAGGAGGATACCATCTGGGCCGTGTAGCCTTTTCAACAGGACATTTAGTGGCCTATCAAACTATGTTCTTCCTTAGTTTGCCCTCCAGCAAAAAGATACATAACAAGGAATTAAAATATTTGCCGTTAATGAGTGCTAACCATAGAACACTGTGCAGATTTTTCTTTTTGCATTCAGATATTTTAGAGCTTCCAGATAGAGAGAAGATATTGTCCTTTACAAGTATCCATTCCTGAACAAAATGCTATTTATATCCTTAGAAGCCCAAGATACATATTAATGCCTAATATTCATGAATCATACATATATAAACTTATTTTACACTGTCAGATCTGAAAGCTACTTGCATGACTAACAATTGAGAATCATTGTAGCTACAGTTACGTACATGTAGGTAACATGTTATGTAGGTAAATCAGAAAATACCTGGTATGCATATCTTAGGATTTAGGGATATTTTCTCTATGTACTTCATAAAAAGAATATAAAAGTAAAAAAAAAGATTATAAATAGGAGATGGTAGATGAAATATCTCAGCAGCATAAAAAGATCCCACTGAAATGGTGAATGGGCAATATGTCAACTAAAACATTGCATTTTTCACTAAAGACTGAAATATCCAATAAATATTAAGTCATTTATTTAACCCATCAGTGAAAAGCAGAAGCAATTATATGATGATATAAAAATTAAAAACCTAATAAAATGGAATTAAAATGTATAAATTATGGGCAGAAGGAATCATCACCACTGTAAGTAATATTGCTACCTTACAATTGAAAGCTAATTGTGATGTAGTTAAAAAAACCCTAAAATGATGCAGAAGAGGATTTTTTTCCTGAACAAATCAAATCACTTTATTTTGGTCATTGGACCAGCAATTGTGACTGTGTTTGCATAATCATGAATTTTGCTCGCTGCTGTTCTGCTATGTGTGATCTAACTGTAGTTAAAAATAACTTCCCTTTTTGTCGACTGATAGATAATAATGCCAGGGATCATAAGCATACCGGTAGATCAAAAGGCTGATTTATTTATTTTTTCAAAACAGCTGGCCTTTTAAGGAATTTCATCTGTTAAAATAACAGCCCAAAGGAGCTTTAAAGAAAATACAATCTTTAGTACATGCACATCCCCCTTTGGGCTATATGTTAGAACTTTATTTATTAATTAAAACCTATAGTGTTTTCATACAATAGATACAAAATTGCCAATTTTCAACACCATCACTGGATATTTCCCTGAGGATAAATGTTTATGTGAGAGAAACATAGTCAAGTCCATACCACCGTGCTACAAAATGGACTTGCACTATTGGAAAATGCTAATGTGATGAGAAATGTTCTAATCACAGGT